CCCAGGCGCCCAACTGTAATTTTCTTTGAACTATAAAAATCAAATAGTTACTCTTGATGAGTCTGTGCAGGCTAACTAAAATGTTAACTGTCTTTGTTTTTGGATAAAACTGTATGAACTTGGTGGGCTAACAGTGGTCAGACTCATATCAACCAGAATTTTTATATAACAGAAATGGTAAAAATGAATTTTTTTTTCTAAAAGAACATCCTCTTTAAGATATGATTTCCATAGGGGAAAATTACCAAAATAATGGAGGCTTGGAAATACACATACTGGCACACATTTCCTCTTCAGTCTCCATCATAAGTTCAAGCACCAGATTATATCATCTTAATTACATCCAGGTATCAATGCACTTGATTAAGATCAGAGAGGGCATGCATGGAAAATTACAACTAGAAGCCAGATTTTCTGATTCCAAGTCTAGTAGTCTCTAGAGATGTACGACCTATGCCACTTTCCTAACCTCCCAAGGACGTCTTCCTCTTCTTCCAACTCTCCATACTGTTATTACCTAACGCTTCCTATGAAGTATCAAGTGTATATTGAATTTCAAGTTGAGTTTGTGCTCATAAATAAAATCTTACAGGATGAAAAATTTCCTCTTAAGTTATAATTGCTTAAAAACAAAATTCCAAACCTCCCTCCCTCAAAACCTAATTGAGTGCTTATAGTACTCTTTTTTTTTTTAGATTTTTATTTATTTAGTTGAGAGAGAGAGCACACAAAAGCAGGGGAGGAGCAGAGGGAGAAGCAGACTCCCTGCTGAGCAGGAAGCCCAACATGGGACTCGATCCCAGGACCCCAGGATCATGACCTGAGCTGAAGGCAGATGCTTAACCCACTGAGCCACCCACACACCCCATAGTACTCTTGTTGTAAGCACTTCCCTGCCTCTGATTCTAAGCAAAAACTTTCCAAAAACTAGAAATGAGGGACAATAGATAAAATAAGGCTAAATATTATTTAGCTAACACTGACTGATTGAAAGAGTTATTTCCCTCACCAGCCTCCTGCTCATCTTCCCCCAACCAAAACAGACAAGGCCAAAACTCAAATACTTCACCACTCATACCCAAAGGGGGAAAAAGGAAATGTCCATGGAATTGTGTTTATTGTTATTATATATCCAGCAGATGGCAACTCCATTTCCTCTAGTCTGAAGCACAAAGACATTTTCTGCACAGTTGCACATGCCCAGAAATACTTCTCAAATTATGTCTTTGGTCGGATGGCATAATTGAGTCTCTACCAGCAAAAAGCTGGAGGCTGTAAGTGCCTGGTACCACCCCTCTGTCATCGCAACTACTAATGGTGAAGGTCCCAAGGAAGGCTGATCCTTCGGGAAGCAGACTCCATATAACGCTGTCTTTCTGCTGAGCACTCGGTCGTTCACGGCTCATTGCAGATATCTCTCCAATGCTGCTGCTCTGGTAACCTGTACTGTGAAGGGGGTAGGAGCACACAGACCAGAACTCTCACTCATGCTCAGGTCCTCCAGTGCAAACTGATACAACATGCCTACTTCCTAATGTAGGAGGATCTTAAGCTCCCGAATTATAAGTATTTGCAGTATCTCATTCAATTCCACAAGTCTGATTTTCATGCATGCCAAAGTGTTAATCTGAACACAATGGGTCAGTCGGGGTGAGGTTTGTATCCTTGACAATGAAAAATACAAAAACGTTACCTGTGATAAAAGACATAACTCACAAAGGTATAATACCTGATATTTTGGTGGTGAACTGATTTGTTGCTGGAAGTCCAAACCCCTTAGCTGTGCTAGCTCGGATGGTGAAGGAGTACGTGGTCCCTGGATACAGTCCAAAGAACAGAAAATGGGTTTCATTCCCCAGTTTTGAAACTCTTCCACTTTGATTGGATAAGTCTATTTCGGGGTCAAAGGAACTGACTGCTTTGTAGGTGATCTGCAAGAGAATAAGAATTCGATAAAATACCTGAAGCAGGTGGACCGGGATCACATCTTTATCCAATAAACCCCTGTGATGTATGCACTGTCAGATGCTTTATGATAAGCTCCTCTACTCACTTATACTCTTCAAATCCTGGATTCGGTGAAGGGGTGCAGGAACTCAGCCAAAACTGCTATGAGTTATTACTTTTATAGACAGAGGAATTGAAAGCCAGTAGATTAGAACATAAAGGATGAATTCAGGTTTAAGCTAATACCTTGAAGTTGTTTGTTTTCAAAATGTCACTTTGGAAAACTACATTACAGTTGGTTTAAAACAACATCACAAAATGTACAACTAGCTCAAACAGATAAGGACCGTACAAGGGTAAGGCCTTATCTCTCATCCAGGGGCCAGTTTGATTCCGCACTGAACAGGATTATTGTCTTCTGGAAACAAGGGCATTTTTAAATGTTTTCACCAATGTGGGCAAAGATATCTGCTCTCACAGTAAATCCTAGACACGTGTCAGGAGCTCTTGATGGTATGACCATGGTGCTCGTGACGGGTCATATTTACTTCTTTTCTTCGGAGCAATGCTGTCCGATAGGACTTTCTGTCATGATGGAAATGTTCTATTCTGCACTCTGATGGTAGCCACCAGCCACAAGTGGTGACAGAGCACTTGAAATGTGGCTAGTGAGACTGAGGACCTGAGCATTTTATTTTCTTTAATTTTCATTAACTAAAATTTAAATGTAAATCACCGTGCGTGACTAGGAGCTGCCATTTCAGGCAATGCCACTCTAGAAGGCTCCCATATGTTGCCACATAACAGGGGTTTAAAGCACATTGGACGCATCTGGAATGTGTGAAAATAAATATATCATAGGTGTCTTGAAATTTGCCCTTTCAAATGATTTTTTTAAAGAATTTCACCATAAGTAGTTCATCAACTATTCACGAACACGCATTTTAGAGGTGATTACTAACTTCTACTGGTTGTAATGACATAATTTTTAAATGTGGCATATTCAAAAGTTTTAAATTGCAAAACTGAGCACTTTTCTTGCTTTTAAATAGGTAAACTTACTTATAATTTATGTGCATGAACACTAACACTGTTATTACACGAAGTGATAATTGACATTCTTTCTTCTTATATTTATACCATGTCATTATAATTAGGGAGACCTCTCTGAAAGAATATTTAGATTGAATCATCTAAGTTTGGCAAGAAAATGTTTGCTGTATATACTAATCACTATAGTGCATGCCACTCTCAGAGTTAGGCAGCATATCTGTTGTTAACCCTCTAGCCGATTTCCCTCACAAGGTTTCTCTGAGTCAAGAGTGTCCCCCACCAGCTGCTCTGGGAGGGACTTCAACATTGGCACCACTGTGTGCTTAGCTGTTTACTCAGTCCTCGTTCTGACACTTCTAGAGAAAACGGTGGTTCAGAGAGGGTAGATCTAAGCTATGAGGGCATATTTGCTCCCCAAAGTTTATTCATTCATTCACTCATTCATTCACCCATTCTAAACACATTCATCGCATGCCTCCAGTGAACCAAGCACTGGGCTCTGAGCTGGGATCTCACATGGTGGGTGAGACATAGTACCTGTCCTGGAGGAGGTAACAGTCTGGTGGAGAAGTAGAGATGCAATAAAACAGCTATGATACAGTCTAAGTAAATGAGGACAAGCACTGCCCACCAGAGCTAGGCTCCCTGTTTGTTTTGTTGCCTTACTAAAAACTTTAACGGGACACAATTGTATAGGAGACAAAGTCCAAACTTCCTACCTTTGGGTTTAAGACCTGCCTACATCTTCTTCTCCAAACTCATCTCTGAATACTTAACACAGTGATATTATATTACCTTCTGCCCTGGTCAGGGGATAAAGATTTTCTGTACCACAAACACTGGGCTTTTCTGACACTGCTTTGGCTCATAAATGTTCACCTGCTTGGAAGGTGATAGCACTATCTGTGATCTGCTTTCTCTCCCTGCTCAGATTCATTCATTCCATTCAAATATTGATGGAGTGAACACTGACACCGCGAGCACCGTGGTCAGTGGGCAGACACAGGCCCTGCCCGCAGGTATTTAAGAATCTGGACTGCAGTGAGTGGAGCTGGGAGAGATGCAGAAAGTAAATTAATAATTTTAAAATGCTAAAATTCAGTAGATGAAACAAACACAGTGCTAAGACAAAGAATATTGTAGGCAGAGAGGGATACGTGCTTGACCACCAGGAATGGTTGTGGAAGGGGCCACTGAGGGGATGACAGTTAATTTCAGGAGACTTGAACTTTGAGAGAGCCAGCCATGCCAAGAGTTTGGGAAAGAACAGCATGAACCAAGGCCATGAAGCAGGAGTGTTTTGTACACGGTTAATGGACAGAAAGAAGGCCTGTGTGACTGTGGCTCAGCAAGCAAGGTAAGTGTGGTCCCTCGACCAGGGGCTGGGGAGTGGGTGAGGGCCATACCATGCAGTGCTCTGTACCCTAAGATAAGAAGCATGGATGCGTACAAGGGGGAGCCTTGGAATATTCTGAAGTATGAAAACCAAATTATCTAATTTCCCTTATGAAAAGACCAAGGTTAGCTGCCAGGGGAGGAAGTGGTTTGTTGGATGGAAGTAGTAAAGGGAGGCAGGGAGGCCACCGGGAACTACCACAGAGACCACAGGGAACCTTCAGCACCTCTGACAGTGCTGTGTTGGGACTAAGGTTAGCATCGTGAAGAGAGCAGTAAATGAAAAGAACTGGCATATTTGAGAGTTAAAATGGACAGAAGTCGGTGATCAATTGAATATGGGGGAAAAGATGGAGGAATCGAGGATAGGTTCCATGTTTGGGGCTTAAACAAAAGATGGCCCCACTTACTGAGCGGGATGGAATGAATGAGGGGAAATGAACTGCTGGCTTGTGGACACAGGGTGCATGGTATCAAGCTGGGATTTGAGACGTATGGCCAAGAAATAGAGATGTGGGGGTGATCGGCATTGAAATATTATGGTTTAGGAATGGATGAAGTCACTGGGGAAACGATTTCAGAGAGAACAGTGACATTTAATATAATCAGTGGTGGAGGAGGAGATACCAACAAACAAGCCAGAAAAGCCAATAGAGAAAGCTGTCATGGAAATCAAAAGAAAGAAAAGGAAAGAAGTGTCTGAAGAAGGAAATGCTTTCAAAGATGCCAGGAGTTCAGGTGAGACTGGAACAAAACATGTCTGTCCACCCATATCTGAAGCCAGAGTTCCCATTTTACTTCTCTGTAAAGCTTCCAAAATGTGGCCCAATGATCACTGGCTCAGCTGAACGCCCAATGTCGTGACTGAGTTCATACAGTTCATTTGGTGATACATCATCACGCTGTGAAAGCTCTCGCGTAGTCTTTTTTTTTTTTTTAAGATTTTATTTATTTATTTGACAGAGAGACACAGCAAGAGAAGGAACGCAAGCAGGGGGGAGTGGGAGAGGGAGAAGCAGGCTCCCCGATGAGCAGGGAGCCCAATGTGGGGTCCGATGCGGGACTCGATCCCAGGACCCTGGGATCATGACCTGAGCCGAAGGCAGACGCTTAACTGACTGAGCCACCCAGGAGCCCCTCTCTCATAGTCTTAAATCATTGTTTCAATATGCCAAAGGATGTGGAACTTTTCACATAATTTTGTCTTCTTTCTGAGGAGAGAATGATGTCTTACTCTTCTTTCTGATCCCACAGTGATCAGTACATATTTGGCACTCAGTATACATTTTCCCCAAAAGGCTCCCAGGAAGAAGAGGTGTGCACATGTGCTTACACAAATGCTCACACCACGGCAAGTAGGATGTTGCTGCACCTGCACTGACTATAGAGCAGAAAGCAAATGCTTGAGCAAAGGACCTGTTGCTCCACGGGGGCGGATGGGTTGGTATTCATCTATTGCCATGGTCATGCAGGATAAGCTAGACGGGGGCTCCGTCACGGGTCTTTCAGCCACAGCCCTCTAAGAATTTGCTAATCAACAGATCCTCTCTCCCAGACCCATAAAAATGCACATACACACTAATGCATGCGCTTTTAAAAATTATGGACTCTTTTCCTCACTATTTTTTTTTTAAGATTTTATTTATTTACTTGAGATAGAGCAAGATCGAGAGAGAGAGAGCACAGAGGAAGAGTGAGAGCACAGAGGCAGAGGGAGAAGCAGGCTCCCACTGAGCAGGGAGCCCAATGCGGGGCTCGATCCCAGGACCCTGGGATCATGACCTGAGCTGAAGGCAGACACTTAACCGACTGAGTCACCCAGACGCCCCTTCCTCACTATTTTTTAAAGATTTTATTTGAGAGAGAGAGTGTGAGAGTGAGTGGGGGTGGGGAAAGGGACAGAGGGAGAGAGAGAGAATCTCAAGCAGACTCCATGCTGAGCACGAAGCTGGATGTGGAGCTCAATCTCACAACCCTGAGATCATGACCTGAGTCACACCAAGAGTTGGACACTCAAGCGACTGAGCTACCCAAGTGCCCCTCCTCTCCCTCACTTCTAACAAATCCCTAACAAGCAAGTGTGTTGTATAGATGCAGACACAAAATGTCAGAAAAGTCACTGATCCTTGTCAAAGCCATCCAGAGACCTGGGAGTTTGAATACCAGGAATAAAAAACCCAGCTCCTCAGGAATAGGAGCAATCCACTCTAGAATCCACTGCCCTTCGGAGAGTGGATGCTCCATCTATATGTATCTGAGCAGTTCTTCTAAAGGACACTGAAAAACACCTCTACGCTCACACCCAAATGTACCATGTCCTTTTGGCATTTATTTTTTCATTTGTTCATTCAATGCATGTTTATTAAGAGCCTATTAAGTGCCAGGCTGTAGTAAAGCAACAGTAAACTCCCAGAAGGAAAGTTTGGGACTGCTTCCATGCTTGCAGTGTATCTCTGGCTGAGGGCCAAGGCAATTTTGATGCAGCCTACATGAAGAACACTGACGGGGCACTGGGGTGGCTCAGTCCTTAAGTGTCTGCCTTCGCCTCAGGTCATGATCCCAGAGTCCTGGGATCGAGTCCCACATTGGGCTCCCTGCTTAATGGGGAGTCTACTTCTCACCCCCCACTTGTGCTCTCTTTCTCTCTCTCTCAAATAAATAAATAAAATCTTAAAAATAAAAAGAACACTGACGTTCCACGTTGGAGTTTGCAGTTTTATGGGATGTCCCAAGTCAAAAGCGAACTGACATGCAACCTACATAAGTGGGGGCCACATTTAGGTAAGATGGGGTCAATATTGGATGATTTCTGATTCATACGTAGGTGCCTAAAATTATCTCCAATTACCTTCCCCTCCTCTACTTACAGTCTCAAGTTCTGAACTAAAAGATTCATAGAGGACCAAAAATAGAATAACATGCAATTTTTGGCCAGGAGGGGATTAAAAATCCTCTAGGGAGTGTGAGTTGATTGGAATTTCAGCCAGTGTTAAATACAGTCCTTTAATGGAGAGCCACGCAATTGGAAGAAGGAATAATAAAATCTGATTTCCGGGGAGGAAAGAACCTAGGATACTTCAGAGAACAGTACAATAATTGGATGAAAAACTGAAAGAGAAGCAGAAGTCCCACAGGAGGAGAGAGGAGGGGAGAGCATCAGGAGGAAAGAAGGAAATAAGCAAAAGCAGGTGGTGTGATCATTCAGAAGGTTTTCAGAGAAAAGAAAATTCCATATAGGTAAGCTCATTAAATTCCAGGAGAAAAATAGTGGGAGATGCAGTAATAAATGAGAATTGGAATTAGATCATGGCAGGCCTTGAATAATGAAATGAAACTTCTTGACATGGACCTTAAATTCTACCTCTTTCTACACTCTTACTTATCTCAGTCAGTAGTGATTAGTTAAGCCCAGTTATCCAGGCCTGGGATCTTGAGGTGTCTTCAACTGTTGAATGCCCCCATGAGTTGACAAATCCAGACCATTCTACTTTGCTACGTGCCCACACGACACTGCACTTTATACTCCTCACACATTAAAGTGATTTGCTTTTGGTACTTATTTCATTCTACTGCTAGTTGCTGTTAGGACTGTTACTTCTAATAGAGAAGGGACAGTATCTTTTATACTTCTGTCTTCTCCCACTACCTTACACACACACACACACACACACACACTCTCTCTCTCTTTTCTCTCTCTCTCTATATATACAAACACACACACAGTTTTTATTTAAATTCCAGTTAGTGAACATACAGGGTAATATGAGTTTCAGGTGTACAATAGAGTGATTCAACACTTTCATACATCACCCAGTGCTCATGATGACAAGTGTACTCCTTAATCCCCATTAGCTATTTAATCCATCCCCTACCCAACTCCCTTCTGGTAACCATCAGTTTGTTCTCTATAGTTAAGAGCCTCTTTCCTGGTTTGCCTCTTTCTCTCTCTCTTTTATATATACATATATATATATTTTTTTTCTTTCTTTTTTTCTTTTTGTTCCCAAAGCTTGTTGTTGGGAACATGACCAGGAGTCTGGAGTTTATTTACTAGGCAATCAAGAGCCATATATGAAAATACTTGGACATATATATAACCCTCTGTATTTGGGAGTATTACTGACTGATAAACTTCTAGAAATAGGCTTGATATGCAATGTTTAAATTTTGATAGGATCCCCCAAATTGCCTACATAAAAGATGCAAAATGTATGTTCCCATCAACAGTCTATACACACGTGCATTTCCCCATGTCATTGTTTAACACTTGATATTACACAAACTTAAACTTTTTGTAGCACTTGCTTTATTTCATTTCTGAATCATTAGTAAGGTAGGATAGGTATCTCTTCACGTGCTTAAATGCTACTTGGATTTTTTTTTCTATGAATTGCCTCCTCTTATTCTTTGTCTAGTTTTTCTAATGGAATGCTTTGTCCATTTCTTAGCAATCTCTATCAAGTCTGTTTATTGTGGCCAACAACCCATCCACTGTTATAAATTTTGAAAATAATTTCCTCAAATCTTCTGTCTGTATTTAGACTTTCCTACTGCTATCTTTTGTTGTTCAGAAGTTTAAATTCTTATATAAGTAAATCTGTCAATCTTTTAAAATATAACTTCCAAATATAATTTTATGTCAAGCTTAGTAAGATACATTACAGAAATACCTACCTTATTTTTCTTATAGTATTCTGGTAGTTTTAACTTTTGTGTTTAGAACGTGAATCCATTTTTTTTTTTTTTTTATGATGTGAGGTAGGTGTCTTAATGGCATATTATTCTTGTAAAAAATGCTGGGTTTGCTAATATTTATTAAATTTTATCGATCTCTATTCATAAATGAACTTGCACTATAATTTCTACCTTGTAAAATTTTGGAAGGTCATGCACCCAGTTGTTAACAGTTGTTACCTCTGAAAAGTGAAATTGGGAAGCAAGGATATTATTTTGAATACTTCTGTACTTAAAATATTCTTTCAGAGAGCGATATTACATTTCTATTTTAATAAAATAAAAATTTTGATCGCTGTTGAGGAAGGCTGTATTTATCAGTCTAGGTTTTAGGCAAATGACTCTGATAAAAATAAAGGGCTGATCGAGAAGTAAAGGGACAGGAAGGGCTAGAACCTGAAAAAAGGTGGGGAGAGCAGGAAGGAAAGGCTAGTTCAAGAAGGCTGAAGATGGTTGTTAGGGGAATGAAAAGGAGAGGCAAAGACTAAGATCAGAAGAATGCTTTAGTGCAACTGCCATGACTCCTGGCAGAAAACGATGATGTCAGCATTGTCCAATCACTGATGGTTTGGTGTATTTCCTAAGACGTAAAGAGAAACTGAAAATAACCTGAACCCATAGCATATTCATTTACAACATCTACAGCATTCTACCTGTTTTCTCTTCTCTCCTGCAAAAATGATCCAACTGTGCTCCCTGCCCTAAAGAAACACCTGTATCATTTGTTACTAAGTTTTTCTCCAATCACGATAATTTACCTCACCTTCCAGTTTTTACCTATAATCAAATGTGTTTCTGTGAAAGAACATACTGTCCCTAAGGTTCCTGCTTTTTTTGAGGGGGCAACTGTTCTATCTCCTTAGCGTGATGTCAGTACCCACAAGACTGTGGTCCTCCAGAGGGGACCAAGTTGGGCTGAACATGGGTCCTTGGCTCCAGGAGGAAGCTGTGCCTATCACTGACTCTCACACAGGCTGGGCACAGCATACAGTGCATCGTAGCTGAAGAAGAACTCCGTCCTGAGACCCCACCTAAGGCCTATTTTGAGAACAGAAACCCCCCTTCCTACTTCTGGAAAACATGGGGGAAAGAGAAAGATCTGGTGGCCAGAAAACTTGTATTTAATCAGTGAAGCCTGATTCACACATTTAACATTTTCCCTTTGGTACCTAGAAAAATAAACCAATCTACTCTACTTACCTATATCTGATTTCTAAAACCCTGATTTATGGCACATTCAGGTATCCCCAATTATAACAGCATTTAGATCAGTGTTCAATGGGAGACCCTGGCTGCTGAATTCACAGAGATTAATGGATTCTCCTTTTGAATTATTATTCCTATTGTTTTCATGCTAAAGTTACTTATTACACAAAGATGTATATTCAGCAGCATCAAGAAGAATGAATCTAGCTATTATTTCTGTCTGTCTAGATATCAACATGTGGTTTTTAGGACAGATGGACTTATTTCTTGGAACTTAACACTGGTTCAAAGGCTGTTATTTTTTCTAGTAAAATATTCTGTTATTCTTAGGTAGGAATCTCCAAAAGTGAGACCAGAAAATGGTCTTGGGCCCAACAATACTAACTAAAAATTCTGATCACTGAGAAAAAATATGAACTTGTTTGATGATAACACTTAGCTCTTTCAAAGCTGAGCCACAGATTTTCATAACACTGAATTCTTTTATAATGAAGCAGCCCAATGAACAGCACCAATAACTTAACATGAAAATCAACTTTTTTCTCTTTTCTCTTACTTTGTTTAGCTTTCAATTAAAAACATTATTTTTGCATTTCAATACCAATTTTCAAAAGGTATAAGGAAACATAAATGTGAGGCTAGTTGGGTCAGGGAGGGGGTTTACTGGTGATTACTGTCTGACAGCTAATCTGCTCAGGCTTTTGTCAGTGGTTCTGAAAGGTATTCAAGCAGAGGTTCCATAGGAGGAATTGCCGTGATTTTTAGAAACCTAACAACATATAATTTTGTTAAATTTGCATTCAAATAAATGCTTAAAAAAAATGCACCTGCTTGTTTCTATGACAATAGGCACAGTGAAATGATGCTCATACAGATGTGATGATGACTGTCACCCCCTGTTACTGCTGTTATTTTTTTCCTCAAACAATTCATCAAATTCTTCTCTGCTCTCTATCACTCAACCATTTGATATGGCTCAGTAGACAAAACTAGTCAAGGAAGTCTAAAGGATGTTTTGGGCTAATACTAAGAAACCAAAAGACATTTTTCTATTGTTACCCCTGAGACAATGTCTATTGACTTTGCTAATTGGATAATCAGCGTTCTTCTATAATTCAGTAGTAAATTATTTTATAGCTAGCAAAAATAGGATCATGTGGTTGCCTCCTAATCAATGTACACTTCAAAATACTTATTTTTAGTACAAGTGATTTTTTTTAATACTATGTTTTGTCTTTACATATAATAACATATAGTCTAGAAACATCCAAATCATTATAAATATATATCCTGAAATGATACATAATTGAAAAACTCAGGGTTTTTTTTTTTGCTTCTATGCAGTAACCATTGTTAACTATCACAGGCATTAAACTTCATAGAAGACATGAAGCCATTATGCATTTTTAAATACTAGCAGGTCTAGCTATCACAGAAATTATAATGAAAAATTAAATCACTAATAAATGTATACACTACCTCATATAAAGTGATGACACCATATGTTTGAATTGGTTCTCGCCACTGAAGAAATATCTTCTCTTCAAAAGTACTTCCTTGGATGGATTCAGTAGGAACAGCACCTGGCACTAGAAGGGGAAAAAAAAAAAATCAAGAAATGTTTGAGAGACCCGGCCCAAATTAGATTTTTCTAGACATGTTAGGTTTTTCACTCTCAATTGAGACATAAGATTTAATAGTCCATAGACAAACTCAGTTTTCTTCTAAAAAATCTGATATTTAAAACCATTTCGGCATGGAGCACTGGGTGTTATACAAAAACAATGAATCATGGAACACTACATCAAAAACTAATGATGTTCTGTATGGTGACTAACATAACATAATAAAATAAAATAAAATTATAAAATAAAGAAAGAATAAAACCATTTTGGCTACATTGTCCTTATAAAGAAAATAATCTCATCACATTTTTCTTTAAAGTTCAAATCAATTAGAAGAAGCTCAGTAATCACCTTTTAAATGAACTTTTATGTTCTTCAGAAATAAAGATATAGAGCAATAAGAATGCCCACACATTGCTTGTGGGAGCAGAAATGGGTACAGCCACTTTGGAAAATAATTTGGTAGTATTTAGTAAAGCTAAAGAGGCATGTATCATATGAGCCAATAATCCTACCTCCAGGTATATTTCCTAGTAATATTCTTGCATGTATGTACCAGGAGACATATAGTAAGATGTCAACATAGCATTTTTTAATAAAAATAATAATTTGGGAACAAACTGAATGGTTTAATAAATTGTTATAGTCACACAATATAACACACAAAAGACTGAGTATAAATGACAGCTATATACATTATCATGGATGAATTTTATGTTTTTATATATTTTAGAGTTATAATATTGAGTGACAAAATTATGTGAAGGAAAAATGAATATGAACTATTGTACTGATATTTAATGTTAAAAATACACACAAAATAGATGTTCTAAAAAGATGTGATATAGATAATATGTAATAATAAATATTTTTAAAATTATTTTATTTATTAATGATACAAAAGACTTTGGGAATTTTTATGCCAGTTTTTAAAACCTGAAATATGCAACACCTTTTGACTAGTTTTCAAATAAATCTGACATAAGGGAAGGTGGAAATTTACCTGCTAATTTTCTATAAAATAACATTTAGTGTTATTTTAAAAGTATTGTTTAATCTCATTTTCACGTAAACTCATTTTGCATATGTATTATATCATACACAATTTAGTGTATTAGCCTATCTATTCTATTTAAAAACTAGTATATCTGTAGTGTTTATACATATATTTGAAGGTACATGATCAAATTTCTCGGTGACGGTGTGGATAATCAAAAAGTAGTTGGAGAGGACTCACACTTCTCAAAACTTACTACGAAGCTACAGTATCAAGACAGTGTGGTGTTGACATAGAGATAAACATACAGATTAGTGTAGCAGAATTGAGAGTACAACCTACATTTGCAGTCAATTGATTTTCATTAAGGGGCCAGGAAAATTTAATGGGGAGATGATAATCTTTTCAACAAATGGTGCTGGGACAACTGGATATCCACATGTGAAAAAACGAAGTTGGATTCTTACCTCACGCCATATAAGTTTATATCAAAATTGATTTAAGAGCTAAACATAAGAGCTAAAACTACAAAACTCAGAATAAAACATAGGTGTGAACCTTCATGACCTTGGATTAGGCAATAGTTTCTTGGACATGACACCAAAAGCAAAAGCAGTAACAAAAAAAATACAGGTAAACTGTACATCATCAAAATGAAAAGCTTTGCACTTCAAAGGGCACTATCAAGAAAGTGAAAAGATAACACAAAGAATAGGAGAAAAGTTTTGCAAATCATATATCTCATAAGAGCTATCTTAAATACATAAAGAATTACAAAAACCCAATAAGAAAACAAATAATCCAATTAAAAATAGGCAAAGGTTCTGTATAAACAGTTCTCCAAAAAAAGATAAACAAATGGCCAATAAGCACATGAAAAGATGTTCAACATATCCACCTAGTGGGAAAATGCAAATCAAAACCACAGTGAGATAGCACTTCACACCCCTAAAATGGCCATAGTCCAAAGGCAGATAATAAGTACCAGTGAGAATGTGGAGAATTGAAACCCTCATACACTGTTGGAGGGAATATAAAAATCCTACAGCTCCTATGAAAACAGTCTAGCAGCTCTCCAAATAGATACCCATTGATAAATTTACCATGTGAATTCCACTCCTAGGTACATACCTAAGAGAATCGAAAACATATACTACTCAAAATTCTACACAAATACTAATATAAAATTATATGTGAATATTAATATAAGCATTTTAATAATAGCCCCAAAGTGGAAACAACGCAAATGTTCAACTCATGAATGGATAAACATATCTCAATAAATTTAGAAAAGGGAATTGGAGAATTTTTAGATTGTGGGACGATACGAATAGTCCTTTAAGGGTTGGTAAGATCTCCATAGACTGGAAAGAGTGCCTAGAATTGCAAAAGGATACTCACAGGTAGTACACATTTTTTTAGTTGAGGGGCTACTGGTAGATGTAAGATTTTATAGTTATTTTGAATAGAGCTCAGTACTGCTTGGCAGAAAAAAAATTACTGATTCCGATGGGAGGCCTGGGTTCTGATTTAAGACTTCTCAGTAATTAAACTGTGTAGTTTGGGCAATTCACTGAACCTCCTTGGGTCTCAGTTGCCTCATATTTAAAATGAGGAACTTGGATTAAGTTCATCTTTACCATCCAAACTCTAAATAATACATAAATATGAAAATAATTGTTTTATCTTAAGCTGAAGGAATTGATGTGAAACTACATAAAGTGAAGAAAACCAAGGTATATATGAAGTTATAACACTGATGAGTTCTAAGAAAATTCAGATTCCAGGGTCTGAGATGGAAATACTCATCAGTCAGAAGCTGAACTAAAATTGGCCATGCCAGAGAAAACTCTAGTCTTTTCCTCTTGAGCTTGAAAGTGTTTATTATGATATCACCATCAGTTTTCTCACAGTAGCAAGATAAATATGAGTGGCTCTATTATTTTGAGATGATATTTACTAATTGAAAATACTTATTAATCTTTGTGCAGATGTAAAGAGGTAAAGACAGAAAAAATATATCTTTGATTTCATTCAGTTACTCTAAATCATAGTGAAATAAAATGGGAAATAGTCAAAATTATGTTGAACAGAGGTCATCTTATAAGGGTAAACATTAAAATGTCCTTGGAGATCCTGTAATTGATAGCCCTGTGGAAACGTTAACAAGAAAACCTAACCGGGGTATGGATATATATATATATATATATGCAGGAGCAGACAAAGTAAACTAAAATAAAATACTAGAAGAGTTAAATAAATTAGGGATAATAGTACCTCAAAGGAACTTAGGTCTGCTACCTATTTTTAGAAATTCTTAGAAATTCAGTATTTGGGACAGATAAGCTTTAGTTTCTTTACCATTTTTTTAAAGATTTATTTATTTTAGAGAGAGAGAGAATGCATGCAGAGGGGAAGGGCCAGAGGAAGAGGGAGAGAATCTCAAGCAGACTCCCTGATGAGCACGGAGCCCAACGCAGGCCTCAATCTCATGACCCTGAGATCATGACCTGAGCTGAAATCAAGAGTCAGATGCTTAACCGACTGAGCTACCCAGGCACCCTGATAAGCTTTAGTTTCTAAGTTTGTGGAATTGAGCCCTATTCTTTCTTGTGATACCTTTAACAGTAATAAAAAGACAATTTTTTCCACACATTTCTCATGAAAAAAAACAATATTCAATAGAAATATTATACCACAGTAAAACTCAATGTTCAATGAATTATAGCCTTTTATAATGGTAGATACATAAAGTGACTCCATCATTCTTTTCTCTTCAAACTCGGTATTGACAATTATTCTATTTTTGTCTTTCTTTTCTCTCTTTTTGAAGACTTTGTTGTTGTTGTTGTTAGGAAATATACTTTGAGATAAAAGTTCTTCTAATTCACTGGATGCCAGTGTGCAATGAAAACAATAGGTTTTTGGGGTTTTTTTTGGAATTGAGCCAAAGAGATTTTAATGAACTATTTTCAAATGAAGAAAAAGCTTGAAGCAAAATATGTACTTCTTTGAAAAACACTAAACCTATTTATAACTTTGACAAAATATATATATATATATTTTTTGCTGAGACAGAAAATAAGATCTACAATTTGAAAATCCTCTACCCTTGGAAGCTGTTCTGTTTGTTTATTCAAGTCATTTCTATCTCATTATCATTATAGCCTTCTTTGTTTTTTTGGTTTTTTTGTTTTGTTTTGTTTGATTTATTTATTTATTTATTTATTTATATTTTTTATTATGTTAATCCCCATACATTACATCATTAGTTTTTGATGTAGTGTTTCATGATTCATTGTTTGCATATAACACCCAGTGCTCCATTCAGTACATGCCCTCTTTAATACCCATCACCCGGATAACCCATCCCCCCACCCCCGCTCCCCTCTAGAACCTTCAGTTTGTTTCTCAGAGTCCATAGTCTCTCATGGTTCGTCTCCCTCTCCAATTTCGCCCCCTTCATTTTTCCCTTCCTACTATCTTCTTTTTTTTTTTTTTAACATATAATGTACTATTTGTTTCAGAGGTACAGGTCTGTGATTCAACAGTCTTACACAATTCACAGCACTCACCACAGACATTGGGGAAAACAATAGGTTTTTATTTGGAAGTCATGCATGCTCCAACTTCTGGGACTAGCAAGACAATTTAAACAAACCAAAAGATAAGTTATTCTGATCTCATATTTTGACAGAACTTATCAGAACTCCTAGCTCATTCCTTTCTCAATTTGAAACCCAAAAGTGGTGAGGGGGTTTATGCATGTGGGTTTGTGAGCAAGACATACTCGCTCATCTCTAGAAACGACTACATGTCATCTCCCCCTCTCATTGATTAAAACATTACTGTTGATTAAAACATGAATGATTATCAACAAACTTTATTGTTTTATCTAAGGACTAAAAGAATACTTTTGAGTGTTTTATTACCTACTCAGTATGATGCCTAGTGTTACAGAGGAATAGAAGGCTTCTTTTCTCTAGTTTATAGTTAAGAGAAAAAAGATTGTATGTAATAGAGACAGATCAAGGAAAGGTCACAGTGAGTTGCTTTGAATCATTACAACAATAATAATGACCACTTATTAGAGCCCCCCACCCCCATCACTACAAAGAGCTCTCTATGTAAATTTCCTCTAACTCTAATATGGTTGAGAACTGTTACTATTCTCACTTCTCAGATGACGGAACTAAAGCCCAGAGATTTAAAGATTCTAATCAGGTACAAAGGAGGTCAGAAGGATTTAAGAGTTGGAGGCAGCTCTTTGAAGGACCTGAAGGCTGAGGAGCTCTTTGAAGGGCAGCAGAGGAGATGGAAGTGAGAGGCAGCCAGGTGGAAGGCAGGAGGCAGAGGAGAGCAGACCTTGAGGAAGAGCCTGGAATGGAAGGAGCATGGCCTATGGCACTGACGTTGGGGTGACATCTTTGCAGAATGAAATGAACTGGAGGAAAAGTCACTAGTTCTAGAGAATGAGCCAGGAATACAGAAAACCTTGAAAGTCAAAATTTAAATTAAGTAATTGAAAGCTCTGTGGAGAGAGCGACACAATGCAGATGTATTTTATTTTATTGTTAAATTTTGCTTAAATTCAAGTAGAACTAACTTATAGTGTTATATTAGTTTTAGGGGAACAATACAATGATTCAACAATTCTATATACATTTCCTGGTGCTCATCAGGGTAAGTGTACTTTTAATCCCTTTTATCTATGTCACCCATCCCCCCACCCAGCTCCCCTCTGGCGACCACCATTTTGTTCTCTGTATTTATTTATTTTTTAAAGAGATTTTATTTATTTATTTGACAGAGAGAGACACAGCAAGAGAGGGAACACAAGCAGGGGGAGAGGGAGAAGCAGGCCTTCCATGGAGAAGGGAGCCCGATGTGGGGCTCAATCCCAGGACCCCGGGGATCATGACCTGAGCTGAAGGCAGACGCCTAACGACTGAACCACCCAGGCACCCCTGTTCTCTGTATTTAAGAGTCTGTTTTATGGTTTGTCTCTTTTTTCTTCTTTTGTTCATGTGTTTGTTTCTTAAATTCCACATATGAATGATATATGGTGTTTGTTTTTCTCTAACTTATTTCACTTCACATTACACCCTCTATGCCCAGCCACGCCATGTGGCAAGATTTCATTCTATTTTACAGCTAATATTCCATATATTATCCACCTATAAGTGGACACTTGGGTTGCTTCCATATCTTGATTATTATAAATAATGCTGCAATAAAAAGAGGGGTGCACATATCTTTTTGAATTAGTGTTTTCATTTTTGGGGGGTTAAATACTCAGTAGTAGAATAACTGCATCTTACAGTAATTCTATTTTTAATGTCTTGAGGAGCTTCCATGCTGTTTTCCACAGTGGCTGCATCAATTTATACTCCCACCAACAGTGCACGAGGGTTCCTTTTTCTCTACATCCTCACCAACACTTGTTTCTTGTGTTTTAGATTTTAGCCATTCTGACAGGTGTGAGGTGATACCTCATTGTAGTTTTTAATTTGCATTTCCCTGATGATGAGTGATATTGAGCATCTTTTCATGTGTCTGTTGGCCGTCTGGATGTCTTCTTTGGAAAAATGTCTATTCAGGTCTTTTGCCCATTTCTTAACTGGATTATTTCTTTTCTTGGTACTGAGTAGTATATGTTCTTTATATATTTTGAATATTAACCCCTTATCAGATATATCATTTGCAAATCTCTCCCCCCCCATTCAGTAGGTTGCCTTTTTTTTATTGTTTCCTTTGTTGTGCAGAAGTTTTTTATTTTGATGTAGTCCCCAAAGTTTAATTTTGCTTTTATTTCCCTTGCCAGAGGAGACATACCTAGAAAAATGTTTCTATAACTGATGTCAAAGAGAGAGGACTCAAATAAGTAAAATCAGAAACGAAGGAGGAGAACTAACAACCAATACCATAGAGATGCAATTGTATTTTACAGATTCATTTTGTGGGTGAGTAGGCAACATTAAAATGGGGTAAAGCTGGAACCACCAAGGAAGGTGAGAAATTTCAGCATGAAATAATGAGGATCTGGATATAGGTAGTGGAAATTGAGAGAAAAGCACACTCTAAAATTTTGGGAGTAGAAACAGCAGGAGTTAGAACCAAAGGAAGCAGAGAAATGTGGGGTGCAGGGGGGAAAGAGTCAGAGGTGACCCACTGACAATGTTGGCACTCTCTTCTCACTTTTCGGAGACATGAGGAAGAACTGGAAGAAACACAGACAGGGCTTCTAGCGCAGCCTGATTGGGTGACCTGTAGCAAACTAATACTCCTTACAAAAATAACTGCAATCAGACAACTATTTGAGAGCAACCAGCACAGGTAGGTTGTGGGGCTACAGAAAAGAGAAGAGAAATCTGTAGGGTGAGCTCCTCATTTACCTTAGCTGTTCCCACGTTTTCCTTCCACAGCAACATGAATGTGTCGTATGGGTAATAAACACTCAAAAACACTTCGTCAGCTCTTTAAATGGTACAATACAGTGTTGTTGTAAACATTTAGTGCATGTTATAATCAATAATCAAGGATCATGGCATAATCAGCTGCATAAGAAAAAAAAGTGTAACATCTCTTTTTCCCAAGAATAAGTAAGTATATTCATTTGATGGGCTTCTCAAGTTCTTTGCCACTTACTCTGATGCCTGGCAAATAAACTGTAAGTCAAATATATGATGCACTACCACTGTATTTTATGTGCCATATGTACATGTAATTGTATGTGGGTGTCCCCTGTATAATCAATGTAAAAGCTCATCTATATCCATGCTATGGGATTCAATGTATAATTTTACTATTTTAAATTATTTCAGAGGCTTACTGCAATTGTGTATTTGCTTTTTTTGATGAGTTGCTGGTAACACGCATTGTCTATTTGTTAAATCCTTGTTTACTGAGGTAATATCCAATTATAATATTGTTCCTATGGGAAAGTATTATCTATTACATGGCCACCAACCTAATGAGGTAATTTCTCAGCACTGTGCTGAAAAGCAAGGGCAGCCTCTATTTTGTGCTGAATTTTTATCTGAACTAGAAGTATGTTTCAGAATACTATTTCAATATATTTAAATAAGCATTTCATATAAATAATACCAAAGCAGCAACTCTTAAGTCCAACATGATAATAAAACTTGAATGAAGAACTATTTAGAGCAATATAGAATAATTATATATAGAAAGGTAACTCTATGACTCATAAGGAATTAAACTTCTACATCTTTCTTCCTTTACCTCTTTAAATCCATGCTTATATTCTCAGAAGCACATTTATATTATTCAACAGAGTAACTAGTTCCTTCGTCTTCATTACAGAGATCTCAATTTAAAAGAAGTAAAAGCTGCTTTTCTGATGGCATATATATTTCATACAAACATATCATTTAAAAGTACTCACAATCTTCATCCGTCTGTATTATGAGTTCTTGACTTTCCTTCCGTCCCTCAGGATTCATGAGGATGAGTTTCACACTGACATTGGTATACGGTGAAAGGTTAGTGATCGTATGTTGAGGGTGTGAATTATCTGTGTCCCAGCTTACTTCTTCTCGCACTTGCTCCTGTCCTCCGACTTGGTAACAGTAGTGGACTGTGAGATTATAACTATGGCAGCGAGTTACGTTATATCCAAATGGCTCCCAGCGGATAGTGATTTGTCGAGATTTGACTTCTACCACTTCCAGTTTTCTTGGACCACGCATGGGATCTAATATAGAAAAGAAGGAACAAGAAAACATAAGAGAAATGAATTATAAGAATTCTGGTGAGGGGCGCCTGGGTGGCTCAGTCGGTTGAGCGACTGCCTTCGGCTCAGGTCATGATCCCAGGGTCCTGGGATCGAGTCCCACATCGGGCTCCCTGCTCTGCGGGGAGCCT